CTATAAATGCTTAAAACCCTTTAAATGAGGCAAAGTCCTATAGTGTGCAAGTTAAGGTGTGCCCCTACCCATATTACATTTACATGGCCCATGCTTGGAAAATTCTGAATATTTTGTTTGGTGACACAAATTGTCCTGTTTTCTATACTCCACACATATATTGCTAGAAATAAACCTATCTACACATTTATTGCTGGCCACGTAGAATTATCCTGTGGCAGATATTTGACCATTTGTGGGTGTGACCATTTATTTACATTTATTTCACTCTGCATGAAGTAGAGTAGATCTATGCCACAGTATAGTCAATGCAGATTAAAAATTGACTCACATTCATCCGAGTTTTATTTTATTTAGAGTTCCATAAGTCCTTGTTTGGATTTCAAAATTTTTAATTATTGGTGATGGGGTCCTTTGTTTTTTCTTTAATGATTTGTGTTACTGGACTTCGGTAGTCTACATTGTGGCCCCTCAACATTTCAAAATTTATTTGCACACTCTCTTTATTGTTTGCAATGGCAGAGCAAAGAGAAAGTTTTATTTCATCTATTTATTTATTTATTTATTTATTTATCTGTAGACATACTATTGTGCATGAGCCTCTAGGAGCATACTATTTGGTTTTAGTTTTATGTTGTATTTTGATCTGACTTAGCCTGTCTGGATTTTTATGTTTTTCCTCAAGCACTGGTTGCCCTAAAGTCTAAAGTGACAGGGAAATCTATACTTATATAAAAAGGATCCTACTTACTACAAATAGTATCCAGAAAAGTCAACTGCAATTAATGTTTACTATTTCCAGCATGTATTTTATTTAATTATTTTATATTGAACCCACAAAATCGGTTTTAATTTTTTGTATATTTGAAATTTCCTTCTTATCTTCTATTTGCTTTATCCCATACAATCCGTTTAGTCAATAAAATCCCATAAAATCGTTTTAAACTTTTTATAGATTGAAATTGAAATTTCCTTCTTATCTTTTTACCAAAAATTTTATTATTTATGTATTGAAATTCTGTAATCCGATTTCAGATTGTATCGTTAAGAATATATTATAGTTATATTATCAAATCATAAAAAGATACTAAATCCATATTGTAAAAAAAATAATTCATATAATTTTATAACAATTCTACTACACTATTAACAGTATTTTTTTATTATATAATAAAATAATAATTAAATATTATATAGTGAACAACAATAAATAAAACTGTTACTTTCTCTTATATCAAGGGATAAATTTATATGCTAAAATTAAATTTTTATTAGTATAAATGTTTTAGTGAGATAATATATTAATTATTTTACAAACTAGTCCTAACATGCTCATATTTAATGTTCTGGCTAAAAAAATAACGTTGGTTAAAAGATGTGGAAACGTTGATTGAAAGAGGTAGAAAATAGATAATAACCCTATTATTTTTTAAACTTAAACAGACAAGGGTGTGAAAATAACTCATTTAATATCTATATCAGGTGCGTCGCATGGGGTACGTACTAGTATAAGTTTGTATGGTAGTCAAATAAATGATTGATATAATTGGCTGGCCAATAGTTTAAATACTATATTTTATCTTTATTTTTATTTTCTAATTTAAAAAAGCACAAGTTCCAGTTCATGAAACACAATTTGAATGCTTGGATACAAAATTTTTCAAAAAATTCTAATCATTTTTAATCAATCACTTTTTTAACTCAAATCCAAATCAATTTTAACTCAATCTCACTATCCCCAATATTATCAATATAATAAAATAATATCACTCAATCATTATTACACATTATATCAACTTTAATTCACTATTCATCAACCCACATAATTTTAACTACCCATCACTTCACATCATCTCTCTCCTACTTTACATTTAATTAATTTTAATTATTTTATTTTAAATATTATTTAATATAAATTCAAAATTTCACTAACAACTAATTATACATTTTTTTTAAAATTAACCATACCACAGCAAAAAAATCTAAACAAAATAAAAATATTTTATATCCAAGCATTAACTGAGACAAGAAAGTCATTGTCCTCTGACAATTTTCTTTTTTTAAAAAATCTGTATTAATGTATGGTTTTTATTTGGATCTATATCTGTTCCAGAATTTTTTTTAATCTCCCCGACCCATCAATTTCACATTTTGTTTTGTCTTGTTTTCATTAGCTATAGTATATATAATGTTGACTTTTTTAGCTTGTAGCTGGATAAAGTATTGTCTGTACTGAGATTCCTTCAATAATTTATGATTTTGGTGGGTATAATTCTAACATAAATTTATAAAAAAAATAAATAAATTGGAACATAAATCACGCATAGTTTTGCTATTGACATACTGTCATTTTATTTTTTGGTCTCAAATCCTGGAACAAAAGGTGAAAATTGAATCTAGAACAAAATTTCTCAAAAAAAATCCAAACATTTTAACTCAACCACACTATCATCAATATTATCAATATAATTAAATAATATCAATCAATCATTCTTACACACCACCTTATTTTAATTTACTATTCATCCACTCACATAATTTTAACTAACCATCACTTCAAATCTTCTCTTTCCTACTTTACATCAAATCAACTTTAATCATTTTATTTTAAATATTATTCTAATATACCCACTAACAACTAACCATACCAACTTTTTCAAAATTAACCAAATCGAACAAAAAAATCTAAACAAAACCAAATTTTTTTATATCCAATCATCCTCTACGAACCTTTAAACAGTAAGATTCATTGCTCAACAATATGCTAAGATTTTCCCCATTTTACCACTCTAATGGAGTGATTGGTGGGATTTGAAGCTTCTTTTTTTGTTTTTTTGTGGGTGATTGATAACAATGTTTGCAGTGCTAGTTTTTGAGACCATGTGCTGAAGCAATCTCAAACACGTCATTTGTTTTGGACTTAAAGATTGGATTCCCATGACTAGTTAAGTCAAATTACACATTGTCTGCATGTGAATATTGCTAAAATTATGGTATCGAAACCAAAATGACAACTTCGTTCGTGTTCTTCATGTGTGAAAGAGAACTTATTGTTATGAACAAACAAAAAACCATGTAATTTGACAAAAAGAAAAAAAAAAAAAAATTACTAGCCCGGGCTTTCGTCCAATTAAACAAACCTTTGGGGGTAACCTACACAATCCATAAACCTTTTCCCACTCTCTCACAAACAGTTTTTTATTTATTTTTATTTATTTTTATTTTTGTCAGGGATAATGACATACAATGGGCTCGAGACGTGCATCCTCAACAGCAGCTCGTACGAGAATGATAGTGGGAGTAGTGGGGGCAATGGGTGTGTGAGTGACTCGTTTGACGAGTACGACTCAGCTTCCTCCTCCAGCACGAGTAACCCATTTGGCTCGTTTTCCTCTCTCTTCACCTTCATCAAGAAAGATGACAGCAAGGACGAGTCCTGGGCCCAGACTAAACACTTTAAGGAAAAACGAGAGCACGACAGCTTTTCAGATATGGACACAATGAAGGAGAAGTTTGCGAAGCTTCTTCTCGGTGAAGATGTCACTGGTGGGGCCCGCGGTGTTTCGACTGCCCTCGCGCTTTCCAATGCTGTCACCACTCTTGCCAGTATGTTTTATTTTTTTATTTTTTGTTTTGGGTTAATTGCAAAATGGTCCTGTGGGTTTTTTGAATTTCGCAAGCACTCCCCCTGAAAAAGGGGGAAAAACAGTTTACCCAGCTAAAAAATGGAAGGAATGGGATTCGGTTTTTGTAGCTTCGGTGTTTGGGGAGCTATGGAAGTTAGAGCCATTAGCGGAGGAAAGAAAGAGAAAGTGGGGAAGGGAAATGGAGTGGCTTCTTTCGCCAACAAACTATATGGTCGAGCTTGTTCCCGCTAAACAAGATGGTGCCAATGGTCGTACGTTGGAGGTACGACTCGACTTTTTTTATACAATCCCATTTAAAAAATGAAGAATATGTTTACTCATAACTCATAAGTTGGTTGCAATTTTTCGTGTAGATAATGACACCAAAAGCTCGAGGGGACATCCATATGAATCTGCCCGCCCTCCGCAAGTTGGATTCCATGCTTATTGTAGGTGGTCTCTCAACTCTAAATAATACACAAAAAAATAAAAAATAATAATAAAAACCATGGAAATCAAAATTCTTACCTTGTTTCAAGTTTTTTTGGTTACTCTATGATTTGTGATATTGATAGGAAACACTAGAGTCAATGGTGGACACTGAGTTTTGGTACGCTGAGGTGGGCAGTCGAGCTGAAGGTAGAAGCAGAAATGGCGGGAAGAGCATGCGGTGGTGGCTTCCTTCACCGCGGGTCCCAACTGTCGGCCTCTCGGATATTGAGAGAAAGAGATTGCTGCACAAGGGCAAATTGGTATATCAAGTCTTCAAAGCTGCAAAATCCATAAATGAAAATGTCTTGCTCGAGATGCCGATTCCTGCTGCAGTCAAGGAAGCTCTCCCAAAGGTATAGTCTCCACAATTTATTTTATTTTATGAAGTTCTCCATTCTTTCAATGGGATCCAGATATGGTTTTTGAAAAATATCGAAGAAAACCCGTGAGTGATTACTGGAAAAAAATCTTCTCGAACATATTCTACATTGGTAAAAATTCCGAAACTAATGATCTGTTTGAAATTTGATAACTTTTATGGGTAATTAACATAAACATAAACATATGAGGATTAAAATGGCTAATTAACATAAACATGTAATTACAAAATGAGGATTAAAAGTTTCAAGAAAAAATTACATTTTATGAGATTTTGATATCTTTGGTCTATCATCCTCTGTCCCAGTCTGGAAAGGCGAGCCTTGGGGAAGAACTCCACAAAATACTGTGTGCTGAATCTTTGTCTCCCGAAGAAATGATCAACTGCATGAACCTGAAATCCGAGCATGGTGCACTCGAAGCCATTAACAGACTGGAAGCAGCAATATTAGCCTGGAAGGAGAAAATTGCGGAGCAACACAACAATGGCAAGTCACCCACTCGGACATCTTGGTCTTTTGTGAAGGATTCGCTTTCCGAGCTCGACAGAACGGAGTTGCTAGTGAAGAAGGCCGAGATGCTTGTACATCAGCTAAAGATCAAGTATCCAAACCTACCTCAGACATTTCTCGACGTGACAAAAATACAATACGGCAAGGTGAGTGATAGAATAACATCTACTAAATCCTTTAATTCTAGAGGTGATGATTTTTTTTTTGCCTTTTATCTACACAGGATGTGGGGCACTCGATTCTTGAAGCGTATTCGCGTGTGCTGTCAAATCTAGCTTTTAGTATTCTCTCACGTATAGGAGATATTTTGCAAGAAGATGTGATGAGCAATCCAAACTCGCCCATTGCCATGTCACATCTTGTGGGGGCTAAAATCCCCGGGATTTCAGACAGCCCTGTGCTCGATCGTGTGAGGCATTCCCTAATTCATCAGCTCAACTGTGCGGACAACAGCAAAACGAATGAAAGCAATGGTTATGATGTTGAGGAAGCTAAGATTAGTTCGGTTTGTGGCACGCCTACTCGGAGTCGGGTTTGGTGCATTGGAAAAGAGGCTTGCCACAGTTTTTCTGCTCAAAATTCCCCTTAGATATATATGACCACTGCTATTTATTTTCTTAATGTGTATATATAATGAGTTGTGTCCTATTCCTGTAAGATGTGTGATTTTGGCCTGCTCACAGAGGAGGATTATTGATAATATATGACTGCCACCCAAACCTTTTTGAACAGAAAGTGATGCTTTACATATCAGCACTACTAAATTGAAATGAGAATCTCTTTCATTGTAATTCTCATAATTTCATATGAATTGGAGTCGGTCAATGAGGTCGAATATAAATAATTTTGAGCAATATTGTTCTTATTTGCCGCTTGTGTTATGTAAATTATAAATTAAATTTGCTTGCTACTATTATGAGTAGAGGATATCGAGGAAAAATTATAAATTAAATTTGCCGCGTTGCGCGCGACCACTTTTCCTAAATTACCCCAAACCTCAGGGTGGTCTTGCAATTATCATTATTAGTTTCTTCTTCAGTATTGAGTTGCCACATAGGGAAGACCTGAAAGTACAAACTCCGGAAAATTGATTGCGTCTTGTGCATCTAAAGTGGGATTTTGAAAATGTCGATTTTGGATGGGGAAAGCCGATATACAGTGAGATAATACATTAACAGCATTGCCTACTAGGGCAGGAGATGACGGTGGCGCCAATAAGCTTGCCATCTTAAGTGATGGAGAAGTTTGGGAATGAGATTAGGAGATTAATGTGGGGGCCCATAGGGAAACTGGAACACTTCGAATACTGTTATGCTTCTATCTACATTGTAGAGAAGAAGTGTTCTGTGATAACACTTCTGATGACGGCATATTCTTTTGTACCCAAACCGCAATGAAAGTATCATCTTGATGGCAATTTTATTTTCTCAAAGTAAAAAATAAGACTTCTTTCTACTCAACAGAAGCACATATCATCGTACTATAACCACAGGATGGACTCACTGATTTCTTTTGTTGAGTTTATGAAAGATTAAGATAAAGTATACAACATCAAAATATCCACATGAGAATGAACATCAGATGATTTGAGTGCAGATAAAATGCAAAAAGTCCATCTAACATGACTATAGCTAATGACATTTCCTTTTCATCTATAACTATTTAATACTATAAAGGAACTTACATGAAGAAGACAAAATCCAGCCCCATCTCACATTGAATCATGAATCGAGACTGCCAAACCAGTTACTGATAGTCCTAGAAAGAACTCTCGTCTCATTTAGGGAAATAGTTTTCAGTCCTTGAGCAATAGCATCTGCTGGGGTGTACACTGGGCCCACTTGCCACTTTGGTTCCTAATAAATACAAAGGAAAATTCACATGTTTTATTTATTAACTCTATTCTGGTTCACTTTGCAATAGTTTGAGATTTAGCGTGTTTCAGAACAGGAATGAACTTTTCGACTTGATGGGCTCATGGAACTTATTTATCATTACTTTTTACGACTTGCATTTCTCAGAATAGTCCAATTTCCCACAAAAGGACAGAAGAAAAAAAGAAGAAAAAACTCATTGTTTACTTGTATTTGTACCTGTATGCATGGTGTTATATGGTTCCCACGTAAAACAACCTTATCAAGTCTTCCACCAAAAGACTCAATACGAGGCTTTAGTGTCTCCTCAAGGAGATCGGTCTCATCAATTGTGTCGAAATCAAATTTTACCTGGGAGAAAGTTTGATGACTTAAGAAGTCTACTGCATTAAGATTTTTATTCAAAACTGCATATAAATGAAGGTAAGTAGTACCAATAATGTTTTTTGGATGTTATATAACTTCTTGAAACAGTCGAGATTCTCTGCAGGTGTTGGCTTGAACTCAGAAGTCCCTTGTGCAACCTAAATTAAAATAATAAGAATCAGATAACATGAAGAGAAATCCAGACAAAAATAATTACAGTTTATGTTGAATGTAGAGCTACAAGAAAGTCAGGAAATAGTAGTTGTAATCAAGAAATGATTGGTGAAAAGGTAATTAGTCTTTATGTTTTAGATTTTGGACTTTGAAAGTACCATCCAGTCTCATATACCTGGTTAAATACTGAGGGCAACTGATCAACAAACTTTGTCAAAGACACGGAGGCTTCCGGATCATAGTCTGGCACGACTCTTTCAGCCATATCTAGTAGTGTCTTCCATCCATCTAATGAATCATATACAATTTAGAACTGAAGTATTCAGATTAACGACTCACTTTCGCAAACACTTGGCAACCTATAATTTATTAATTTTTAGTACAGAGTTTTAATTTTTACCTGAGACACTCTGAGCCAATGAATACATAGGGGATGTCTCAATGACCGGCATCATCTGGTTGACTATGGGACCTAACTGCAGAAAATAGCAGACACTTGAGGTCTAAAAATGGTTTTCTGAAAATCCATGAAAACCTAAATCGGAACACTATATACATCCCCAATGGCTTTTTTTGGTTGCCTATTGTACTATTGTCTATGAAAGTTGCCCATCTAGCTATTCCGCGCCTCTCTATATGGCATGATTGTCTTCAATTTTTGATTATTAGAAACAATGAGAAATAAGGAAAAACGCGCAACTTTAGCAAGTACCATATAATATTTACGACTTCAAAAACAAGCAACCTTCTGCCTGTCATTGTTTTCAGTCATTAGTATGAGCTTGATATATTATATAACATCTCCATCGAATGATATATCCATGGCACGTCTGTGTAATAAGACAACAATGTTAGTTCTTAATTCTTTAGGACATCTTTAATTAAGCTGTGGCATCATCACAAAACTGAAAATCTTAGAAACTTATATAGACAAGAGGAACAGACCTGCTCGAAATATGGTACAGCCTCTGATGCTGGTCTGTTGTTGTAAGATATGACTGCGTTTGCCTTCAGCAAAAAAATGGATTTTATTTTTCGCCAAAATGTGTCATCTCTCATTTTCATCAAAATTACACACAATATGGCTATTGGGAGCAAACAGAATCAACCTTAGGAATCTTCTCACAGAAATAACTCCCAACGAGTACTTGAACGAGTGCACCGTTGCTGCAAATTCATTAAAATGTAAATTTAACAAACGCAGTTAACGTCTTTTTCAATTCTATGTTCATTTTCCACAAATCACCATAACATCACCTGTGTCCAACTGAATAGAAAGGAAGATCAGCAATCTCAGCACCAGAAATCCCATTCTCAGGCAACCCATTTACCAAAATTGAATCCAAACAAGCATGGAATCTATTGTATATCTCTCTACTCACTTGCTCGTGGTTAAAAGTCACATTGTACGGAACAGATATAATCAAGTAACCCTCGCTCGCCATCAGCTCAAGAAAGTAACTGTCCACAAATTATATATATTTAATATAATTAAAGTAATCGGTAATAGAAAAGCCAAAGCGGATAGAAAAATATAGATTACCGGTAAGTAACTTCGGGCACAGCTCCGATGAACGCACCGCCGAGGAATTTGATTAAAGCTTTAGGTTTTCTGCCTTTCGCCGGGGGTATTACGAGGCAAGAATCGAGCCTTCTGTACAGCTTACCTGTTCTGTAATGGCCATTTCTAGGGTTTTCCGTACTTCTACCAATTTGAGCATTAAAGCTTCCATTAAACGTCGCGCGCGGCGAAAGCGATGGGAGGGGCTTCTGGTAAATTCGAAATCGGCGAGGGCATAAATGTGCAGGGGTGGTCGGGGAGGCGAATTGGCGTTCGGTCGGTGGGGAACGGCTGCAAGTGAGCGTAGTAGCAGTCGCCATTGAAGTGAAGCTTATTTCAGTTGTGCTGGTGAGAAGACCCAAAGGAGAAGAAAGAGCCGGGGAATTGAGTAAAATGTGGAGCGCGGGAGTTATCCACGTGGCATGTCCTAGAGCGCTGCTTTTAATTTGACTAAGTTTATTTATTTTGGGACTAGCACAACAGCACAAGGATATTGCATTAGCACTAGTGTGTAGCCCGTGCGGGTAGATAATATTAAATAATAGTTATAAATTAACGATGATAGTAAACAATATTAATTAATAATTATAAATTAAATATAAGGTAAATAATATTAACTAAAAATTGTAATTAATTTGTGGAGTTAATATGTGACATAATTTATCGTATATCAGTTGTAAACAATATAAAATTATCTTGTATAAAATAACATAAAAAATGTATGTTTAAAATATTAAAAACACCTAAAATATTATATAACGTATGTGAAGTATCTAAAATTTTATATATCATTATTGAAAGATGTGAAGTCACCCAAAATATTTCTAAACTATTTTATAAATAAAACATGTAGTCCATGTATCTCCTGTTAGTCAGGCCGAGTTATGTTCGCAGACAATTTTGTTCGATTTACAATTCTAGTCACCCCCCTCCCCCCAAAATATTTTTCTAGATACTTTCCTGATTCTAAAATTTTTATTACCTTTTGAAGTGAGATTTTATAAATATAGAGACTGAGATTTTAATGTTCTTCATTATTTCTATGAAAAAAATAAAAATGTACACTTAATAGATCTTAGCTGAAATTTTTAAATAATAAAATGAATTAAAGCCCAAAATTTAATGCAACATTTAATGTTGTATGATTTTTTAAAGATAAAAATAAAAAATTAATAAAACTTACTATTTATAGGTTGCATTAAATTCTTTCCTATTTTTTTGCTACTATTTTTGTTAAATGTTAATTCTTATTATATATATATATAGATTAATAAAATTTGTTACACTTGTACGGAAGCTACAAAAAAATCATTAAAAAAATAATTACAATTAACAATTAAATATTATTGAATATTTTTGTATATACAACGTCTTTTATTTTAAAATTATTTTCATCATTACAAATTAATATTTTCAATCGTCTCGTCATCTTCCTCAATATCATTCTCTCATTGAGTAGTTTTTTTTCTTTATCTTCATTCTTAGCATTCTTTGTTTTTTGAGGAGCTCGATTCACCAAAAAAACTTTCTCTTATAATAATATTTGAGGGGTGGCGATTCGTTGAGAATTTGATTTTTTTTTAAACTGATCATCTCGTCATCATCAGGTTTTTTCTTATCATCCACATCAACTCTCTAAAAATGTACAATAATTAAATAATTAACTTCATCACTTCAATCTTATAAATTTATAAGATTAGTTATTTATTAATTAAAAATATTAAAAAATATAATTTTCAAATTATAAATTTATATGCATTGAATTTAAAAAATATATATACATGTAAGTAGTAGAATCTTTGTAGAAATTTTTTGTTTAATTTTCTATAATAAGTTTGAACAAATCCAAATTATATGCCTATGATTACATCCCCCTCTCCCTATATTTTAATTCAAAACGTGCTGAGCCTAAATGGCAGACTCGCATGCTTTGGAATCCTACATGTGACAATATTATGCTTTGTAGTTAGGTTCAGATAAAAATTTTGAAAACAAAATTGGTTTGGAAAGTGCCATAAATAATTTTTCCATCATACATAATTGTCTCACATCAATCTCTTTCATTACCAAACTAGTGCGTAGCCCGTGCAATGCACGGGTAAACGATATTAAATAATAATTATAAATTAAAAAAGTGGGGTTAAGATGTAAGGTAATTTTCAATATAAAATCATCTCGTTACAATCAAATAATGTTCGACGAAAAAAAAATCATACATTGTTAAAGACTTTCTTGTACACAATATTATTTGTTTGATTACAGGGCAACTCTTCGTTCGAACATAAATATAGATTAATAATTGACCATAGTTAACAGTTTACCACAATTTAGGTGGCCTGTTTTTTTCATTATTGGAACGTTATTCTAAGACCCAATTCNAAAAAAAAAAAAAAAAACAAATTTAATATATGGCCCGTATAATGCATAAAATATGTAGCATTTTTTCTTTTCTTATCAGATCCGTAAATGAAAGCCCAATGCATAAAAAAAACGAATGTAAAGAGAAGTAGATTTCGGCCCGTCTAACAACCAAAGAAAAGGTCGAGTACCAATTTTCATTCTGATAGGGCGCTTTCGGTCGGTCAACACAGATCTAACGGGTGTAAGTAAATTATGGGCAATATAAACAGGTCATTTTTTTTGGAATAATTAGGGTTTTATCATTTCATCTCACTCATTTCTCTCTCATCTCTCTTGTCTTGTCTGTATTTCACGCACTCACCATATGTAAAGTTACACTTTTTTTTGCCGATACAGTTAAAATTGGATCATTGACCGAGAACAAAATCCACATCTAGCGTGGATCCTGTATATATGTTTTTGTAGATCGAATTTTGTCGGCTTTTTTTTTATGTATTTTTCTTTATTGGTTAATATCATATATGTTTTCATATTTTTTTTTTATATATTTATTTCGTGTATTTCAATTTATGTTCGTAAGATGAACACTATTTTCAATCTTTCAATCGCTCTTCACAAAAAATGTGAATCGGTTGTTGGAAATATATATTTATATTATAATATATATTAAAAATTATACGGACCTGGTTAAATTTTTCAACTTTAGGCCAAATCCTGAAAATTTTGAGTTGAAAAAGATGAAAATCGGATATGAAAGTATTAATTGTTTTTACAAATTTCTTTGTTTTTTTTCAAAACAATTGCAGATCTGGGTGGATTAATTAAATTTGGACCCCATTTGATAAATTTTTTTTCACAAAGATTAACGGATTTGATCAATTTTTCAATTTTGGGTCGAATTTCGAAAATTTTGAGTCGAAAAAAATGATAATCGAAAATGAAGTATTGATTATTTTTAAAAATCTCTTTGTTTTTGTCATAACCAATTGCAGGACTGGGTGCATTCAATATTTTTTTTATCCCACTTTACATTTCTTATCAAATCAGGTGTTTATGTGTAAGATCTTGTACAAATATTCAGATGCATACCATTTCAATTATGTTTTTTATGATATTCTGCTAATTCGATAAAAAAATGATTGGATTATGGTTAATATTCTGGCCCTCTGCCCAAATCAGATTTTTTTACCATTTAAATACTAAATTAGTCGTAAGTAACGTTGTTTGTTTTATTTCCCATGATTTTCTTCGAACTAAATTAACAACTACCTTGATTTAAGGGTTCCATTTAATGATGCTCAATTTTTTTGCCAAAAAAACAAATAAAAGTTATTAAAAGTTCAAACTAAATTAACAACTACCCTGATTTAAGGGTTCCATTTAATGATGCTCAATTTTTTTGCCAAAAAAACAAATAACAGTTATTAAAAGTGATATGTAATTAATGCAGACGAATTTTGACTATAGTTTGACATACTATTTTTTAAAAAAAGTTATTCTTTATATATATATATTAGCACGTAACCCGTGCGATGCACGGGACATAAGTATTAATGAGTTATTTTTACAGAACTTGTTCGTTAAGTAGCTCGTGCGATTCACGGGAGATATTAAATGAGTGGAGGCCTAAAAAATAATAGAGATTGATCATCTATCTTTTTACATCTTTTCATTAACGTCATTTTTTTTGTCGGAACATTAAACCTGAGTCTGGTAGCGCTAGCTCGTAAATTAATTAGTAAATTAATTAATATATTATCTCGCTTACATGTTTATAATAATATAAATTTAGTTTCATTATATATATATTTATTCATTAATATAAGAAAAATAACAATTTTACGTAATCTTGTTTCTCGTATAATACTTATATTATTTCATTATAAAATTTATTGTAGTATAATGTAATTATTATTATAAGTTATAGATGTAATCTTCTTCTTCTTTTTGTTCTATGTAATTAAAATATTTAATGTATGTTCATATTATTTATTAATATAATAATTTAAATTATGTAAATAAATTTATAGTAAAACATTTTGTACAAACATTTTACAAAATATACACAAATGTTTTTTCAGAATTTAATTTTTTTACAATAAATAATAGCTTTGAAATTCTATGCAATTATTAAAACCGATTAAATCTGCTTTATTAAAACCGATTAAATCTTTATTTATAGGCTTGACATTAAAACCGATTTTATGAGGTTATTTTAACTAAACCGATGTTATGGAATAAAACAAATCTATACTTACATTTGACTTTTCCAGCAAAGGTAAAAAAATCGATTCTGATTTTTATCCCATAACAAATCTTTAATGTCAAGCTATAAATATCAAAACAAATCTGTAATTAATGTCGTTCTATTTCCAGCAAACATTAATTACTTTTGACTTTTCTTTATACTAAATTTGATAAATGAGATATCTTTTAATAGTATAAGTATAGATATAGATAGATTTGTCTTGAATTTAAAAATCAAACAAATCTTTCTTTTATTTTTTCATTTTACTAAGGATTTATATCATTCATCATATTTTTTTCTCTTTTTGTAAAATTGTATTTACTTTTGTAATAGATTTATTTATTAATTTATTCTCATGCATTGGAATAAAAAATAATAAAAAATATATCCAAAGAGGTAAATTGAAGTCCAAAGAGGTAAATTGAAGTAGGTAGTCTACAAGTAATTATTGAATTTAAAGCTAAAGTTTGGACACATATAAATATAGCAAAACATAGATAACTAAAATAAAAAATAACTTACTTATTTGCACAAATCACTGTTAAAGTAATATAGCAATTATATTATGACATTGGTTACAAACAATTAGCATTATCTATTCTTACTATAGATAGTTGATTTATTTATAAACACTAAAATCAATTAAAAACTAATAATAATTTTAACATGTTAAAACTAAGTGTAGAATTTTATAAAAAAATTGATAAAGATATAAAAAAATAATTTTGTTCTTAAATCCGGTATATCATATATTTTGGCCCGTAAAAACTCTGCAAGATTTTTCTCTCACTAATTCCCGTTCCCTTCTTTCATCAAACCCTACCCTCTCCATATTCTACTCTCTGTACAGAATACTGTCTGTACAGAAAGCCCAATCGATTTTATTTCCCAAAATTATGGTAAGGGAGAACAACGGATTCGAAGAGGACCTAATTCTGCAGTCAGCAGCTGGCGTCGAATTGATTACAAATTCGAAGAGGAACTAAAAGTGAGTATCATATCAAACAGAAACTTATCGAGTAGAACGACCGTGCGATTGCGTGGTTGATTAGATTTCCCTCACTTGTGGTGCGTTGCGCGAACGTCGGCAGGTATTTTTGTTTGTTTGTTTGTTTTTTTTT